CAGAAAATCCCAAGCATTATTTGACGTATACTCATAGAAGCGAAGGTGCAAGCTGACAGAGCAAACAGAGGAGATACAGAAGGTGCAGTTTGGGGTAGCCCTAGAATAAAAAATTGTAGTTGCAGTTATAGTCAATCATAATTAGCATTTATATAGCACTTTAAGGTTTGCAAAGCACTGTACAAATTCTATCTCATTTTATCCTCACACTAACCCTGAGAATTTCTATTATTATCCACATTTTATATAGAGGAGGAAACTGAGGCAGACAAGTTAAGCAAACTTGCTCAAAATTACTCAGCTAAGTAAATGTCTGAGGTGGGATCTGAACTCAGGTCTTCTTGACTCCAGGTCCAGTAATCTATCTACTACTGCCTCAGCAGCAGTAGTAGGAGTAATAGGGGCTAACAATTATGTAGTACTTTAAGGTTTGCAAAGAGCTTTATGTATGTTATCTCGTTTTATCTTCACAACCATCCATGTGAGGTTATAAATGAGGAAACTGAGGCACAGAAAGCTAAAGTGATTTGCCCAGGGTCAAACAACTTCTAAGTGTCTGAAGGAGGATTTCAACTCTGGTCTTCCTGACTCCAGGCCCAGAGCTCTGTCTGCCACAAAGCATAGCTGCCAATTCAGCATTTCCCTAATTTAACAAGAACAAAGTAAGTACCTACAGAGCTAGGGGGTATATGAAGTTTAGAAAGGATCCTATACTTTTTCATTTAGAAAGTACAGGGATTTAGAAAATTCAGATGTTAAATCTAGTATAACAGCTATAATGCACCACATTATACAGTAGATCCATCAGCGAGGTTAAGTAGTGGCAGGCTTTGTAGAGCCATTACTGAACTTGCAAAGGGGACTAGGGAAGGCTTTATGGAAAAGGGAATGTTTGGGCTTTAAAGGATGGGTACAAATTCAACAAGGGGAGGAAATGGGTGAGAAAAGGAAGAATTATCCATAGGGGAGATGAAATATAACCCAGCTCCTTCCTACCCAGGGTCCCATTTCATCCCATGCCTGCCCTGCGTCCCCAAGCTGTTGTAAGGAGGAAATGATAGGAGGGATATGGAAGTACTTTTGTAAACTGCATAAAGAGATAAAATACGTGAATCTGTTGTTGTTGTCGTTGGATTTGCCTATAAAACCTGCTTTATGGGATGTAGTGGAAAGAACCCTGGCCTCAGGAGAGCTGAGTTCAAGTATGACCTTGGGCTTAACACTGTATGACCTTGGGCAAGTCTTTTCTGTGGGCTTTAGTTTTCCCCTATGGAATTGGACTCTGGGTTGAATTCAGTGAGCTCTTCTGGCTCCTCCAGTTCTGACATTCTACATTCTAAGCTTCCTATAATTTTAATATTCTATTAATGTTATTTTGTTAATTAACATAATGTTAATTCTGTTAAGTGATCTGAGGTCCCTCCCAGCTCTGACATTGTGTTCTAACATTCTGTGATCTGACATTCTATGTTTTAAGCACGCTTTTAGCTCAGACATAATTATGTTCTGAACTTCCTCCCAGCTCTTATATTCTGTGTTCTAAGGCTTCCCAGCTCTGATGTTCTATGCTCTGAGGTCCTTCCTACTCTGATGTTCTATTCAAAGAGCTCTTTCATCTCAGACATCTTATGTTCTGAGGTCTTCTAGCTCTGACAGTCTGTATTTCATTCTGCCATTCTGTGTTCTGATGGTCCCCCCAGCTCTAACATTCTGTGTTCTAAGGGCCCTCCTAACCCTGATAATTCTGTATTCTGAAGCCCTTCCTAGCTCCAACATTCTTTGTTTTGAGGTCTTTGTGTCTGTGTGGTGCCAGAGGATGGTAGATCTCTTTCTTTCTCTCCCCTCTCCCCCAGAAAGCTGACCAGGAGGGTGGCTTACTGTATTTCTCCAGTTAATGAACTTCTGTAAATAAGTGGAAGTTGTCATGGATGGGGAGCCCCCTGCTGCCCTGTGCTGGGCATCCTGCCCAGAGCTGATAAGAAGTCTAATTGCCTAGTCTAACAAGGCTAGAAGAGGCAGGGAAGGAGGAGGCTAGCAGTCACCCCATCTCCATGGGGAGTTGGGGCGGGGGAGAGAAGGGGTGAGTTTGTGTGTGTGTGTGTGTGTGTGTGTGTGTGTGTAGGAGACATTACTTTCCTAGCCATTGTCACATCATGGAAAGTGTGGTGGAAAGAGCAGCCTTGGGCCTTTTCATCCTTTGGAATTGGACACAAATCTTCCCTTTCCTCAGCAGCATAATGTAGGAAAAAATCAATAGGCCTTAGGGACATGAAGCCTGGGTTTGAGCCCCCAGTGTGCCAGTAACTAGCCATGGAACTGATCCTGGGCAAGATGGAGTTCCTGGTCTGATGGGGGAGACATGGCCCCTGGCCACAGAGACTCCCTAATCTGCTGGTTAAAGATGAGCTTAATCGTCTACACACAGAGGGAGAGGCCAGGAGACTTAAGTGTCAGCCAATTAATCTCTTCCTAATGGTCAGGCCAGAAGATAGCCATAACTCATGGCTGATTGGAGGCCCATCCACCTTCAGGAATCAATAGCCTATTTATTTTTATTGCTGCGAGAAGCCTTTCTCAGTTTTTCATGAGGATTTCTCACTTGCTGAGGAAGACGTCCCGGCCTCCCTACGTGGTAAAGGGCCCAACCCAGAATTGGGGCCTTGCTGATTCTGAACCTCCTCATAGGAAAAACAAACTAACAAAAAGTGCTCAAGCTTTTCTTCATAGTATGGGAAAAGCCAAGATCCCCATCCAGCACCTGGACTGTTTGTTCCTCTTCCTGCCCTTTGGGTATCCAACACTGGGCAGCATGGTGTAGATGCTGGGCAAATCTTTGATAATTGTTTGAATTTCAAAGAATCAAAAGGGTTGTTTTGTTTTGTTTTGTTTTTTGTAAGAACTAGGAGGGCACATCCGAGGATAAGTGCCTGAAAGGGTTTTAGAACCTAAAATATCAGCGAAGATAGAATCTTAGTGATGGGAAGGGATCTGAGTGAGCATCCAGGCCAACCCACAGCTAAGCAGGAATTCCCTCAATGTCTGTGGCATCCTTGTATCCACCCTTCCATTGAAAAGCATGGCTAGCGGCAGCTAGGTGGTGCAGTGAATAGAGCACCAGCCCTGAAGTCAGGAGGACCTGAGTTCAAATCCGGCCTCAGACCAAACACTTGACACTTACTAGCTGTGTGACCCTGGGCAAGTCACTTAACCCCAATTGCCTGAAAAAAAAAAACAAAAGCATGGCTAGAGGGCAGGATTGGAAATGAGGACGACCTTACTTTGAATGTTGCCTCAGACACTTAGTTGTGAGAGCCTGACATTTAACTTTTCTCAGATTTAGTTTCCTCATCTATGAAATGGGTGTAATAATAGTATCTAATTCAAGGGGTGATTGTAGGGCTCAATTGAGGTAATATGGGTAAAGTAGTTTTCCAACCTTAAAGCTTTATATAAACAAACGTTAGCTATTGACTACCTTTTTCTAGATACTCTTCTTTGAGCATGCTATATCTTGTGCTTGGAATGTCTTCCTCTCCCTCGGTTCCCCCCTCATCTCATTTTCTTCTTGCCCACCCATGAAAGCCCAACTTAAATGCTCCCTGCCCCAGGAAGCTCTCTCTAATCACCCCAGCTAGGTGTCACCGAGCATTTCTTCCCTCTCTAATGCTGCACTTATCATGGAATAGTCTCTGTTATAGTTACTTCTCTCACCGCCTTGCCCCCCACTCCCACTAGACTTTGAGCTCCTTGAGGTCTGGAAACAAATGAATTAAAAAACATTTATTAAGATTTACTGTCGGCAAAGTGCTGTGCTGAGTGCTGGGCGTACAAGTGAAAAAGCAAGACTTTTCCTGCTCTCAAGGAGCCCACATTCTGATAGGGGGAGATAACCAGGAGAACAATTTACATGATAACAATGTATGGAAAACCAATTTTGAAAGACTTGAGAATTCTGATCAGTGGGCTGACAAATGATTCAAGAGAAGCATGCTAACCTCCTCTTGACAAAGAGAGATGATGGACTCAAAATGTAGGTGAGACATGCATTTTTTGGACATGACCAGGGCAAGTTTTATGTTGTTTGACTATTGAGGGAGGATTTATTTTTTATATTTTTGTTGTTTACTTGGAGAGTGGAAGGTGGGAATAAATGCTTATTAATTGAAAAAATAATAAAATTAAAATGTTTAAAAAAAAAGAGGAAAGGTCCTTAAGGTACATTGGCATCCAAGGGTAATGCATTTTCTTTAATATAATTTTCATTTATAAAACCAAATCTGTTTCTGATTTTGAACCATTTAATGTTGCCAAAAACTAGTGATGAGAACTTTCTTGTCTGGGTCTTTAGTAGCTGTGACTGCTAAGGAGTTAGGAGCTGCAGACCCCAACTGCAGGGGCAATTGCCAGATTGACACTTCTCAAGGGTTTCCTTTCTGGATGATGGCTGACATTGAGGCAGGGCCGGCAGTCTGAGGGAGCAGGGCCTGCAGCTCTTAAGCTTGTTGGCCCATCGGTGGTAGTTGGTCAGCTGGTGTAGATGTGGATGGGATGGGTTGCTCTTCATGATGGCTATATCCTATGTAAAGTAAACTTAGCACAGATCGCAAGACTCTGTACATTGTAGAGGTTTAATAAATATTTGTTGAATATGATTAAAAAAACAAACAAACAAATGTTGGGAAGTTACAAAGTACAAACTTGATTCCAAAGGAGAAACATGAGAAGAGGCTTCCTTCCATTGCTTTGCAGGGATGGGTGGGGGCAATCCTTGGGCATGGAGCATTGCATGTGATGTCAGATTCTTTTTAATGTATTGATTGGTTTTGCTGATTTTTTTTCTCTTTCTCTTTTTTTCTTTAAAAAAATTATTTGCTATTTAGGGTGGCTCTGTTGTAGGGGAATGAGAGAGGAGACAAATGGGTGGCTGGATGAATAATCTGTGTTATCTTCAGAGCCATGCCTAGACTTTGAGTGACCATCCTACTTTTCTGTCTCCACAGTGGGAACGTCTCTGGTTCCTGATTCTTGTCTTCACCTTCTTCCTCACCCTGACCTGGTTCTATTTCTGGTGGGAAGTTGACAATGACTACAATGAATTCAACTGGTGAGTGGGGCTTGGTCCAGATATATCCCTGGGAAGGCACTCTGTCTCGGTGCTCCCAGATTCAGTAAATTAGCAAGCATTTATTAAACACCTATTGTATACCAAGCACTGTGCTAAGTGATGACGACACAAAGAAAGGCAAAACTTGTCCTTGTCCTCAAGAAACTTACATTCTAGTGAAGGAGACAACATGTTTATTAGTGGATACATAGAAAGTACAGAATAGATGAAAAGTAATCTTAGAGGGAAGGCTTTATCAGCTGGCGAGACCCAGAAAGACCTCCTACTGAAGGTGGCACTAGGTCTGAGTCTTGGAGGAAGCCGGGGTTTATAAGACATGGAGGTAAAGAAGAATAGCATTCCAAATATGTATTATAAAGGTACAGGATAAAGGGAGATGGAGTGTTGGGTACAAGGCCAGTGTGGCCAGATTGTAGAGTTTATGGAAGAGAGTAATCTCCAAGTGGACTGAAAGGAAGTCAGACGAAGCCAGGTTGTGAGGCCCAGAGGCTGAGGTTTGATTAAGATGACCGTACCTCTTTCTAGATGGAGGGCTCTGAATCAGAGCAGGCAGTAGAGTAAAGCTACTTCTGACTTCTTGGTGTGAGAGAATGGATGTAAAGCACTTTGGGAGAAATTGGGGAAAAATGAGCCCTGTGGAATGAATGGTCCCTGATTACCCAAATGTTGGGCTTGCGTGGGTCAGCTTTTCCATGAGACACACCCAGTCAGAGGAGGAATAATAGAATCATAGATTCACAGGACTAGAAGAGACCTTTAGGATCATCAAACCCAATCTATTCTTTGACTGATAAGTTAACTAAAGCCCAGTACTGGGAAGTGACTTGCCCAGTGTCACGCGCTGAGTAAGTGGCACTTACTATCCTCCTGTCTCTGCCATTGACATGCTGTTTGATCGTTTGACCCCTCTCAGAGCCTCAGTTTCCTTCTTTGTAAAATGGGGCTTCACAGTAGTTGCACAACTGACTTAGCGGAGTTGTTGTCAAAAAGTACTTTCCAAGCATTCGAGAGCTTTAGAAATTGGAGTCGATGAGCTCGCAAGCTGTCAGACTGTACTTCTATGACCAAGCAGCTGCCTCAGGAGAGGAACAGAGTTAGCCTCCGGTCCTACTAGGTTTGAGTTGGGTGCTGATGACCCTTTTCTTACCCATCTTGGGGCCTTTGTCTGTTAGATATAGACTGCAGCAAACAGTCACAGGAAATGGAGTCAGCAAAGCATCAAGCATCCTTTGGTTCAGGTGTTGGCAAACAATGGCCTGAGGCCCCAGTTCCTGTCAAAACCATTCTGAGCTCAAGGGCTATATAAAAATAGGCAGCGGGGCCTGTCTGTAGTTTTCTGACTCCTAATCCTAGTCCAGTCTTTTCATTTTACTTAAGAGGAAACTGAGCCCCAGAGGTAGGAAGAGACTCCCCCAGCGTCATAGATGTAATAGGAGTCAGGCTCTGGGCCCTTCCTCCTATTCCATGCCACCTTGTGGGGCACTTGACCTACCTGACTTGGAGGCCCACCGTCCTTCAGAGACCAGCAGAAAGAACATGAACCCGACAAGCTGCTTGGTCTCCATACTTGTAGAAGTAGTTCTGAGCTACGTATTGGAAGGGAAGGAATAATTATCCCTCCTGCTTGTATAGGATTTCATATGGTCAAAGGTTTGTCAGGTCCATGATCTCCACAGGCCCATGGAAGAGGGATTGGATTGACTGCATGGGGCCTTGGGGGGGTCCTTGAGGAGCAGTTGAAGGGGCGGACAGACAGGGAAGCAGATTTTAACTTAATGTAAAGGAGGGAGCTCTTCCAGGAAAACAATCACCACGGTGACTGCTATGACATAAGCGGAAAGAGTGACCGCTACAAAACAATCGAAGAGGCATGTTGCCGAATCAGAGAGAGCAGGCATGGCCCCAAAGAAGAGAAGGGAGAAGACATCTCCTCCTGCTCCTTTGCAGAGGTCGGGTGTGGAACGTTGTGTATGTTGTCAAGGGTTTTTTAAAATATATGTTGAATATTGTATTTAGTGTAATGAACAGGAAACGAGGCAAAGATGACGCTGAGGTTCTGAGGGAGTTGGGTGGTGCTGTCGGCTGAGAGGGAAGTCAGAAGGGTGGTGGCCTTAAGAGGATGCATTCTCCTTTGGCCACGTCCAGCTTGAAGTGCTTGGGGATATCCAAATGGAGATAGAGTCCCACGAGCGTCTGTCATTATGTGTAGGGCGCTGTGTTGGCTCTGGGAGTGCGGGCTGGTGGATATATAGGGGAGAGATGAGGGCTGGACGTAGATATCAGAGTCAGCAAATTGAGGCACCACTGTCCACAGCGGAGGACAGCTCAGTGGTGCAGTGCATAGAGCACCAGGCCTGGAGTCAAGAAGACTCATTTTCCTAAATTCAAACATGGCCTCAGACACTTACTAGCTGTGTGTCCCTGGGTGAGTCACTTCACCCTGTTTGCCTTAAACCACTGTGCCAAGAAAACCCCAAATGGAGTCACAAAGAGTTAATGGCTGAACCATAACAACAAGAAGAAAGACACGATGTCCACAGGTTGATGGGCAAGGGTAATATTTTTGGGGGGCAGTTAAGTAACACAATGGATAGAGCACTGGGCTTGGAGTCAGGAAGACCTGAGTTCAAATTCAGCCTCAGACACTTACTAGATGTGTGACCCTGTTTGCCTCAGTTTCCTCATTTGTAAAATAAGCTAAAGAAGGAAATGGCAAAACCCCTCCAGTATCTTTGCCAAGAAAACTCCTAATGGGGTCACAAAGAGTTGAACACAGCTGAAATGAATGCTGAATTTGGAGTCAGAAGACTTGAGTTCAAATCCCACCCTTGAAAACTACCACCTGTTGTGATCCTGAGCAAATCTTTTCCCCTCTCCGAACCTCAGTTTCCTCATCTATAGAATGCGGAAGTTGGACTAGATGAATTCTGTGATCCCTTCAAGAAGTAAAACTGATCTTCTGACCCCATGGGAGCAGATTAAACCATCTCTGAAGAGAATGTTGAGGGAGAAGAGAAAGGGACCCAAGCCCAGGCTCTGAGCAATAGTAAGACTTAGGGAGCCAGAGGAGGATATTGAAGCAGTGATGGAGATCAGGAAGGTGTGGTCAGGCAGATAGGAGGATCAGTGACACAGAAACCCAGGAGGTGAGAGTATCCAGGAGGAGGATATGGGGCTGAGAGCTGCCTTCCACAGAGGTCAAGATAGACCAGGAATATTCAGGTGAAGTGATGAGAACCATTTCATTGGAGTGGCAGAGTCAGAAAGAAGCCTGTGGTGAAGCAGCCGCAGCAGGGATAAATCATTGCTTCTAAGGATTTCTCTCTTTTCTATTTTATTTCTATTTTCTATTTATACTCATCCAGGGGAGGAGATACCAAGGGTCCCCCTTCTGTTTCATCTCACTGCCTCCAGGAAGGCACATGCATTGCAACTTTGGGAGTGAGAAGAGCATGTGAAGGGTGAAATAAAGGCACAGAGTTATTTGTAATCCAGCATGTTAAGGTCCTTAAACATCCGCACACATAACCAGCTGTGGGACCCTGGTCAAATCCCTTACCTTCTTACTCCAACTAGCACTGGAAGTTGCAGAGTAGGTGTGATCTACATTGGTAGAGGGAGTTTCCTTACTGGGAGTTCCCTGTACTGCTAAACTTACAGGACCCATCCAAAAAAAAAAAAGGAAGAAGAAAATTTGTAATGTATGTAATACACAAAGGTACAAAGTTAAACAACATTGCAAGAGTGCGCTGGTGTCAGCCCAGTGAGGGGCCCAGTGAGAACTGTGGGAGCTTAGGTTAGGCCACCAACTGGTGTCTCTGACTTTTAGGCTGGACAGGCTAATTACAATCAGAAAGAAATCCTAGAAGCCAACTGGTCCAAAGTGTCCTGGAACAACAGGCTCTTCTACAATGTGCCTGACAAGTCCTTGGAGACCTCTCTCGCTACCTCCCAAGGCAGCCCATCCTCCTGTTGGAGAGCTCTAATTGTTAGGAGGTTTTTCCTGACATCAAATCTAAATCTTCCTCTGCTCCCTCCATTGTTCCTAGCTGTGCTATGGGGGGCCAAGCAGTACAAGGCCCCATGACAGCCCTACAAATACTTGAAGAGAGTTAACATGTCCCCCCTCACTCTCCTCCCTTTCTGCAGTCTTTCAAAAATCCAATTTGGTTGTGGCGTTTTCTGTGTGTCTACATTGGTCCTTTGAGACAGTGTGCCATCCCCACCCTCTTCCTCCTCCTTCACTTGTTTCTCTGTGTTAAGAATTATTTTCTCAAGAACTTCCCATTCTTCAAGACTGACTGACCCTGTAGTTTCTACAGTACCTCTGGTTTTAGCCATCCTCCCCCTGAAGCCTTTGAAATCTGTTTTCCTAGAGTCTAGGGTGCATTTTATACTGCCTGTGTTTCCTGCCAACTCTAAGGTAGAAATTCTAAGGTAGAATAGCCCCCCAGCTCAAGGCATTGTTTGGGTTGAGAATCAGGTACAGGACAAATGTTCCCTTCATTTCTTCTTCCACTTTTGAAAGATGAAATTGTTATTGAAGCAAGACAAGAAAAGATCAGCTCCCTGCTTTTGGCAGAGAGAGTGAGAGAAACAGAGAAGAATGGGCTGACTGTATAGGTAGCCTGTAGTATGCTCCACTCCAATTACAATATTACTTGGTAACTCAAGTCAGCTCGATGGAACAGTAGACAAAAGGCAGGACCTGCAATCTGAAAGATATTTACTAGCTGTATGACCCTGGGCAAGTTGCTTAACTTTTGTTTGCCTTAGGTTCCTCGTCTGTAAAATGGGGATAATAACAGCTCCTACCTCCCAGGATTGTTGGTGAGGATCAAATATCTGAAATGCCCTTAGCACAGTGCCTGGCCCATAGTAAGCGCTATATAAATGTTAGTTGTTATTGTTATCATTATTTGTGCTCTGGGATCCATTGACTTGTATACAAATGTTCCTTCTATCTGGTTCCTAGACTT